TATTGAAATACTACAATATTCGTAATGTAAATTTCAAAATGTAATTTGTAGTATCACATATATGTATTTGATTCACACAAGTACGAATCTGAAATAAATAAACCTATGTTTTCGTAATATAAATATAATTTGTAGTATCACATATATGTATTTGATTCACACAAGTACGAATCTAAAATAAATAAACCCATGTTTTTGTGAGAAAACACCTTGAATAATCCTTTGGAAAAAAATCGAATAGGGTGAGTCAAGGTGTTTATGGCAAAAAATGCATTGAATAATCCTCTTCAATTTTTATGAAGAGATTATTGAAGGCGTTTTTAGTCAGAAAACAAGTTGAATAATCCCTTATAAAATATTATATGGGGTTATTGAAGGCGTTTCTGGTTAAAAATGACTTGAATAATTCATGAATTATTCAAGGCGTTTTCGTGAATTATTTAAGGCATTTTTGCTAAAAACGTCTTTAATAATCTATGAATTATTCATTTAGAAGAATTATTTAAGGTGTTTTCTATCAAAAATACCTTCAATAATCCCAACATTTTTTTTTTGAATATTCAATGCATTTTTTCTCAGAAAATACCTTAAATATTCTTTTTCAAAAAATTGAAGGCTTTTTTTTTGGTAAAACACCTTGTGATCATTTTTAAAATTCATTCCCCTTTTTTTAAACTTTAAAATCCCAAACTGTTAATACAATGAACGATAAATATTATTTTATAAAAGAAACTTTTACAAATAACATAGAAAAATATTTATATGAATATAAATACTACTATATATGTAAATTATTTATAATTTGACTTTCGATCTAAATGATTTTAAAATTTTATGAAACCATATTAAAACTGAAATATTAATTGAAACCAAATTAATATAATATTTAAATTTAAAAAAATTTTACTCTAATATTGAATTATAAATTTATTAATTAATATAATACTTACAAATTTTATTTAAAACTTATTATCATTTAAAATTAATTAAGTTACAAATTTTATTTATTAATAATTAGAGCTTTTATCAAATTATAGTTTTTGAAAATTTTTATTAGAGGAAAATAATATGAATTAATATTTTTAAAAAAGAAATTAGAAATAAATATTTTTTTGAGCTTATACTAACGGTTATTATAACCGTCAGTATATAACATATTGATTCTAATGGATATTTATATACCGTAAAAAAAAGTTTACCTATATTGACCAATTTACAAAGTGTTGGTATAGGTACTGTCTATGCTGATGGTAACAAAAATCTGTTAGTATAGATACTTTTTATTTATATAATTTGACCATCAATATAGATAAGTGTCAATATATAGCATACTTATACAGATGGATAATTATGTACCATAAAAAAAAGTTTATCTATACCGATGGTTATATGAAGTGTTGGTAAAGGTATGGTATATTCTGACAATATTAAAAAAATCATCAATAAAAGTTTCTTTTACTGACGTAATTTAACCATCAGTATAGCCAAGCATCAATATATGAAAATTTTTTTGTAGTGATATAAATTCCATTTATTCTTGTAAAGATATAATGATAGAGGTTATCAAAAGAGAAAATGAAGTAGGCATCGTCCTTGATTCAAATGTTGATACCTACATGAAGTATCAAAACATACAACTCTATGTGCTTTGCTTAATCTCTCAATTGTAATCAAGTTGCTTTTTAATTTTTGATTATAAGTGAAGTTTCTAAACATTGATTTGCATGTGTAATATTGTGCAAGTACTGCTGCATGTGCATTTTGTTTATCAAAACATGTATGAATACTAATATTAACATATGCTAACAACACTGCAGTATAATACAGCAACAACTCTATTTTTTTTAAAAGAAAGGTGAGATACTAGAATTTCTTGAATTATTATTAGATTTGTTATTTTAACGGGACTGTGTTCGTTGTTTAAAATGTCGACTTGGTATAAGATTTAAATTTGAATGGTGTTGAAGTATGAGTTGGTATTAATCATTTTAATTCACAAATGAGTTAGTATTTATATATGAGATGATATTAATTTTACTTTTTCTATTTGAAGTCCAATTCAAAATTTTTATGATTGATCTTTGGATTTATCAAGTGATTCAAATTGACATTTATATGGTTTTTATCTAACTTTACATATGTATATTGTAGGTTAGATAGAGCTTATATGTAAGGAGCAATGGTTGTGCTATTGAGAGTGACAATGAATAGTATAATTCTATTTTTTTAGATATGCTATTTTATTTATCTTTGAAATTTAATCATTTTAATATTTTTTTGAGTGTTTTTATCATCATATTTGCCTTTGAATTTATATTGAGAATGAGATCTCATATATGAAAATTTTAATTTTTCTCACAATTTATAGGTTAAACTTATATTAAAAAAATAAAATAAAGTAAATAAATCCCGTAGCAAAGCGTGGGCAAGCTACTAGTTATAATAATGTGAAACATAATTTACGTAAAGAAAAATGCTTTCATTTTCTACTCTTTGCTTCTGCCGTTGGGAATTGCCCTCGAAGGCTGGCTCCTCAATTTCTTTACTGATTCTAGATTTGATAATTTTCTAGCTAGCTAGCTAGCTACGAGTGGATTGTTCTTCTAACCATGTAGGCCAGCCTGGTTTTGATGCTTATTTTTATTTAACTACTTTGATGTTAACGCGCACGAAGGCAAGCAAAGAGCGAGAAAATAGGTAAACTGGGAGTTTTGTATACATGATAGGTTTTACGTTCAGATGTTGTAGCAATTCATGAACTTCAGCATGTAGTAATTGATGGTTTTGACAACGTGCAAGTGACCATGCAAGTAGCTAGGCGGTGGCTTATTTCATGATTTTAACATTCCTTTTCTCATGAGTGAATGAGTTCCATAAGGAGTGAGATTCCAGCGTTTGTTGCCAATGGCTAACTGATCAGCTCTTGGAGTGTGACTAGTCGATCGATCGAGTACCGTGTTTGGAGATTTATTTTATTTTATTTTTATTTCACATGCAATTTGTAAATATATAGTTATAGCTTGGGAGTGTGAGTGCTGTGTTTTCTTAGGAAAAGAAAAGTAGAGAAACATAACAAAAAAATCCCCTTACCAGTATAATATGCCAAAAATGTTACATGGTAAAGAGACAACCGGAATCTACACAACGAAAATTGTCTGCATAAAACTGGTTGATTCTGTTCATGCAAGCAGGAAAAGGAAAAAATATGGGCCACTCATATTTTGTCCCTTTTTTTTTTATTTATATTTGAAGCTATAGGATTTAAACCCTGATGACAACACTCTACCAGACCATGCAGCTGTTTTGTCCCCATTATCATCCCGTCTGTGAGGGGCCATTCAAGTTTACTTACTGTCTCTAACATCAGAGGGGAAAAATAAGAAACAAGAAGTTGATCAAAATATATGGCGTCGCCGGGACTCGAACCGGAGACCTTCAGTGTGTTAGACTGACGTGATAACCAACTACACCACGACACCATCGTTTTCTAAGGGTCCCTCGTCTAGTCTAACATCTTTTAAAAAGAATTTACTAGATTACTACAGCGGACTTTCTAGAGTTCTGGAATAGCGCAGTCCTCCACCTTAACTTTAGGTGGGGCAGGCGAATCTTGGGCCAATCATTCAATGCAAGAGACCTACCGGCCAATATGGTCAATCGCAGGCTTACTTTGTGCAGATACTCATTCAACCTTCATGAACCTCACACGTTTTTCATTGCATACCAACCCAAATTAAATAAACTCTATAAATTTTACATGGTTTTTCAGAAGCCTAACTCATCATCTTGTGGGCTAGACGGATAAGGTCCAAATTGATAAAACTTCATACCAATGCATGAAATAGGGGTTCACCGAATATTGATAGGGGTTTGATGTTACTATCATGGGCCACCTCAATAGCTGCAGCCGTGGACTGCTCCACTGTGACAGGGCTACTCTCAGCCTGCTCCACCTTCATTTCGTATGGTTCACCCGACCCCTACCCGGGTTCACCATGTTGTGATGCTGTGGCGAACTTGAACTTGATGGGTGACTCCGCCGATAATAGGAGATCAGTTTGTGGGTGCTTAATGGGGCTCATTACCAATTACAATCCTAATTCCTCCGCTATTGCTACTTTGCTAGGTTTTTGTGGAGTCGCACTGGGCTTCACCATTGATCCTACCAGTGATTGCAACTTGTACATCCTTCAGTCTCTCCCTTCAAATTATAGGCTTGATAAATGCTGTTTATTTATCTTATGGTTTGAGTCACTGCTTGGTGAGCATGCCTTTTTCTTTTTTTTTTTGGTGTTCAATTACACTGCTATTTGACTTGATTAGTTGTTATATATGCAGCATTCCATGAATGGGAATTACACGGCGGGTTGCAAACTTGCAATGTGGCACTGTGTAGAGAAGTATGGAAGATCAAATAAGAAGCGGTCTTTAGCTACAGAGAGAAGGATGTTTATGTCATTGTTCGTTTTTTATCCTTGATTTGAAGAAGTTAAATAGCCAATTAACAGTGATTCAGCTGTCCTTTTCAGTTTTCACCCTCACTAATTGTGGGTGACAACCTACAATCAAAGAGCGCAATGATTCTATAAGAAGACTAAGCTGGCTGTGTCATGCTCCTCAAAAGTGGCACCAAAAATAACTTGCAGTTACTTCACATCTAATTCATGTGCTATAACCGTTAATGTCATGAACAACCATTTTTACGCGCACTTGTTAGTAGCGAGGGGCAAAAAATTGGATATAAAAGCAAATCATGAACAAGAAGAAAAAAAACATCCGAGGACAATCAGGCCATGATATCACATTCAAGTTGTGGGTGAGTTGAGCTGATCTTTGTCCAATAGCTCTATCTGCATGGATCTCGAAATCGATTTCATGTCATCATTCAAAAATTTTCACTCTGTCATCCGCAACTGGTTTTACAAAATCTCTCACGATAGTACATATGATTCACTGTGTGATTGTCAGTTATGGGAATCCAAGGTTTTGTTTGTTTTGTTATGGATAATAAAAGAATTTTGACAATCAACATCATCATGTTATGTTGCCAATTCAGACAAACAGTTGATAAGACAAAGACAAACAATGAAACAAGGCCATTGGGAGAAAGTATATGGGGGGATTTTAACCTCCGTGAATGTACAGTGGGAAATAGGCATAACTCGAACTGAAATTTTTTTGTTTTCTTTTGTTATTATTTTCAAAATAATTTCGAGTTGAACGTTGAAAGTGTCCTAAAACAGTTAAAAGACAAGCCAGCTAGAGCAAAGCTGGCTCATAACCATGTTACACAAATACAATCTAACTTATGGACTGAAAGCCGAAGATCTGAATATCTAATCCCAGTTCCTGCAACTTTTTTTTTCTTTAATTTTCATGCTACAAATTATTAAAAATTAAAAATTAACGATCTATCAACAGAGCACATCATGTGACACACACCAAGTGACTGTAAACAAAAAATCTAAACATTTTGGAGCAAACGACAGTCATACTACTAATTTTTTTTAGAAGCCGTGTCCATTTTCAATATCGATAATGTTAAATTTGATCGTGCAGGATCAAAGTTTGTGACATCAAGGCAAATTAATTACAACCCTAGCACGGCTGTCACACACCAGGAAATGAAAATAGGAAGAGGGGTGGGGGGATCATTCCCTTGGGTTGGCACTACTAAGCCTATTCAAGCGATCAGATGCTGGATGAGTCCTGTAACTAAAGTCAACATGTTGAGCAAAATCTCTTTCTGAATTTCTCCCTGCATCCCACAACCCCTGAAAAGTTCTTCTGGTTGAACCATATTTGTCAAACTCCAGCCTCTGCCTCGGAGCACTTTGGGACCGATACTTAGCCCGGGATGATTCTGTGTTAGCCATGTAATTTGGGTGACCATAATATCCACTTAAATAGCCCCATGAGCACTCACTCCTTGTGGGTGTGAAAGGACTTCTCCTAGCACTACTTCCAGGTCTCGATGATGCAGAAAGCGGTTGTGGGCTGTTGTCAGCAGTCCTTAAAACCGCTTCATCCTTCCCTCCCGGATATTTCAGAGAGCTTAATGATAAAACTTCTGCTGAAGCGAGATTTGCTAGGGAATTTGAAGCTTTTCCAGATAATTTTCTTGGGGAATCGTATGCCATAAAGGTCTGGTTATAATCCAAAGCTGAACCATGCTGAGATGCCCTAAAGTTCCTGTTACTTTGTTGGGAGTTCAAACGAGGTTTCCAAGTATCTACTTCAAGGATTTTGTCACTATTCTCATCATCAACATGCCTATGTCTAAGCGGAGCATCTCTCTGGTGATTCCTTAAACTTTCCTCCATCCAATGGTCCAACCAATTCGAACCCATTTGTGCTTTCTCTAGATTAATGATGTCCCTCAGGTTTGAATTTGAACCACATCTCTGCAAGAAAAGAAGCAAAACTCAAGACTGATTCGAAGATCCAATTTTATACCCAGTGCATTTAAATTTGTTACGGAATAAGGTTCAGTGCTCAACAGATTTGTGAACACTAACTATGACTTATAAACTCATGTTTAAACTAATTATATCCTAACATCAAGAAGTTCATGAATGAAATTGTTTCCTACTTGAAAAGAATGTGCAGAATGCTTTCATCTGGAACAAGCAAAAAGAAAACCATTTATTGATTTGAGCATAAGTTTTACTAGAACTAAATAGGTCCATATTAAGACAGGAATCTGCATCGCCGAAGCCAATTAAGTGATACCTTTAGGATTGAGGGCCCATCAAATTTAGTGCTATAAGCACGAAGTTGGCATTCATCTTTTATAGAACTTGCAAGGACCTGCAAGTACATGTAGGAAAAAGAAGGAAATAAGCAGTGTAAATACAGAAAAGCTATTCTCAATAAGTTCTCATATATCTACTATTCCTCCCAACCAAATGTTATACAGAACTAAAACGTGCACCAAAGTTTGGTAACTTTTCTTTCTAGTCAAATTATAGATTTGTCCCAGCAGAGTTAATTTTGCCTAGACCAGAACTATAGTCCATTTGGCCACAATTGATCTTCAGATCATGGTTATAGATTAATACCAACGAACTCCACTTAAGGTTCTTGAAGTTTAAGAGCCTAAGAGAGGCTTGAATTGAACCCTCAGCTCGAACTCAGGCTTTAGGTCAATGACATATCATGTGCATAAAAGTACTCAAATTTTCTTTATAGACAAATCAATTTGGAAGCAAAAATAATTGATTGGTATATTAAGCAGACAAGGAGAGTTCCCCTATATGGCTATTACACTTTGTCTTTTAAACAGTGCCCTATCAATGCACCAAAGTAAAAAACAAAATCCTCCACAAAGATACCAGAACTTTAAGTTTAGGTAAAGCAAGTGGTCCCTCAGTATTTCAATCCGTTAGTGCATTAGGAATCATGTGAGCTGAAGGCAGCATAAAACAAACTTTCTAAATCATGTTTATAAATAAATGGAGAAATTAAAACTTTCTCTAAATGTCGACAAGAGTAGAGGTCTGCTTACAGCATTGCGTGAATGGGACATCTTCCCGGCTGAATCCAAAGATTTTGTCGCATAAGCACGACTAGCACGGGCTCGAGCTTGTAGTCTGACCAATGTTTGCATGCGTCTGAGCATGTCTGCTGTTTGCTTTCTCACAATGTGGCCTCTCACTAGTGCTTGAAGCTTCACCAACGCTTTCAATGCCCTCAGTGCCCTCCGTGCCTGGATCAAGCACCGTGCCAGTAGAAGTCAAAGAATCAAGAATCATTTCCATTGGAGACTAACCAAAACCATTCAATACCAACCCAATTGACTGAATGATAACCCTTGCAACATCTTTGCATAAGAAAAACAAAAGAAAAAGGAAAAAAGAAAAAGGCCAGACTAGCATATCTTTTGTCCTTTCAGAGGTTAAAGTCTAATGAATCATTAGCCCAGTGATTAAAAAATGATATGCACCAGATGGACAATTGAATTCAAAAAGCAAGAGGCCCATGGATGAAATCATTATCTACCATACATGCCAAATGAACGAGGGAAGTTACAGAAAAGAAAGAACCACCTCTCCCACCTAGATATCATACTATTAAAAGCTACAATTAATTTAACCATAACTTCACAGCTTTACAAAAGTTTAACCTAATTGTTTAATGAATAGCCATCCCCACAAGTAACTTTGTCCATTAATTATTGCTAGCGTGCTCATCTCATCTCCTTTGAGAAATAAAAATATCCTCCAATAATACAGAACACTGGAAGGCGGGCACATTCAATGGACGGATAAATTTTGTTTTTCTTACAAATGCAAGAGACGTATACAAAAGAAACTTTAGCCCGTTCTGTTTGCTTTATGGTTCAAAACAGAATAAAGCTTGGAACTTGAGACAAAAGTAAACTATAGGTATAAAATTTAACAACTTTTGCAAGAACCAATTAACTTTCATTGGAAAATTACTAATCGGTGTTAAAAGATACTTCCCAGTTGCAACAATTATTATATCAATTCTGGTAAAATATTAACATGAATATGAATTCTGTGATCTAACCATCTTACTGAAACAATGATGTAGGCCCAGCAGCTTGGCAGGACCATGAAATTTTTGCAGAATTAAATGCCCCACTGAAATGAGGTAAATTTTGCTTGTTACTTGTGAGAGATGCCCCAAAAGCAAGAAACCAATTTTGACAAAAATTTTCTACAGAACAACGTTTGGGTAGAATAATTTTGTCTAAAAGTAGTATTTCCGAACTCAAAAAAATAAGTCTTTTTAACTGCTTGTGTTTTAACATTGATTTGTAATTCCCCCAAAGAAGAAAGAGGAATGTGATTTTGGTCAGACAAGCACATGACACAGCTTACTCTGGTCAAATCCACCGGTTCTTGTATCCCATCACTTCACGGACTCATTCTTTTCCTTGAGAAAAAGAAAGTCCATCTTTTTTCTCTTTATTTTGAAATTTGAAATAAAAATTTGCATAATTGCATGTCTTCTGGGGTACACATGAGAAAGAACAAACTAAAGCCCTCGAGGCACTGATGACCGGCCGTTCAGGTTTCTTCAGCTTCCCCATACCAATACAGCAATACCTCACAAAACTAGAATACACGCGCGTGGAAGGCACGTGAGGTTTGGTTTTTTCAGAATACTAATGACGTCAATGACATTCAATATGAAGTAGAACACGTGTGTGGGAACTTCCACGTACGACATGAGAATTTTGAAGTAAATGGCCTTTTTAATTTAAATTTTATTTTTAAAAAAGAGAAAGAAAATTCATATATGAGACAGTGAAGTAAAGATGGTTAGAGGAGTAGAGGATAACAGGGAATCAGTTCCCTTGTGAAAGAAAGCCTGATGGCGAAATGACCACCTTTTAGTGTCGGCGCACCTTAGTGGACCTTTCCAACACTCTTCGTTTTGTTCGTGTATCTTTCTTCTTTTTCTTCAGGGACCATTCCCAGTTAAAGCTTTCAACAATCCCACTATTGAAAAACAAGCAGTAAAATAACACTTTGTTTGGATTTAACAAAACAAAATCTGCATCACCTCATATGCTTTTGCCCACATGGGTCTCCCAACGAACACACTCTCAATGCAACCTTCTAGCTTCTGTTAGCTCTAAAAATTAAATTTTTTTTTTTTAAAGTAGCTTTTCGAACTACTTGGCCTTTTTGGAATTAGAAAGAATATCAAACACAGCTCTGTTTCCAGTTGAATCCCCGAATAAAACTCATAAGACAAGGAAAATTAACTAAGTCTTTTTAGCCATGGAAGAATATTTCTTCTTTGTGGTCCTTTCCCACTTGCATTGGTGATTTAATGAGCGGAAAGAAAGCGGAGAAAAGTTAAAAAAAAAAAAAAAACCATTGACAATCGTAGAAATGGAAAGTCTCATTAGCATTAAATGACTAAAACCCCCACATCATAATCTGAAGGGGGCATTCATGGAAGAATAAAAAAATTTTAAGAAGTAAATACTAACCAGATAACCTCGAAAAGCGGACTGTATCTTGACAGCTGCCATCTCCTGTGCAAGGCGTCGGTTGCTCCCTCCGGCGCTGCCCCCACCACCACCACTTGTCAGCCTAACGACCTCAGCGGCCGCATGAGCTGCCGCAAGGGCAGCCTCAGCTACAGCAGCAGTGGCTGCTGCCACTGCTATGGCGTGTTTGCTGGCATCCAATGTGTCAATGCATGGACCAGAAAGAGCATCAAGATGGGAGCTTGAAGACGTGGGATTGGAAGATCTGGCAAAGCTCCAACGCCCCCTTTCTTTATCGGGACGGGGTTGGGAGGCCTTTTTGGAGCCAAAGAGTCGCCGGAAAAGGCCCATGTTCATTGCCCGTAAACTATAAGTCCACTCGAAGGCATGGTTAATGGGAATATAAGCACTTTTCTTTTTGGGGGTGATAGAATGAGTCTAAAGGAAAGAGTACGGGAAACGAGTGAAGGAGGAGATAGAGAGACTTGGATTTTGTAGCCAAATGGCCACAACTCACGACGCTCAAACCATACGCGTCTCTAACATATCTGTAATACACGCGCTTCGATTTTTTTTATATCGAACAATTATTATAATTACATTATATCTTAATTGTGTAAACTCTGTTATTTTGGATTTCAATGAAGATAAATTGGAATCATATTTTGAATAAAAAATATATTTATGTTTAAGTTAAATATTCTACTCATAGTTTAATTCAAATTATTCATGCTCTTATTTTTTTTTAAATATATATAATCTATCTAAAATTTAAATCTCAATATTTATAATAATTTTTTTATTTTTAAATTAAGATTTTTATAAAAATATTTAATTATTATTAACTAGTATTAAAGCTATTACTACATTTTAATCATGCTATATATAAAAGCTAGTTGTAACTTGAATGTTTTATTCAATTTATATACTAGTAATTCCATCTAAATACTATCGGTTGTTTTTATTGCCCAAATGGAGAATTAAATTTTATTATGTAAAACTATAAACTTTTTGTACAATAAAAACTATTTTTAGTTAAATTCATTGTGTATAAACTATATTATTAGTGGAGTATTACAATAAAAAAAAAACTATATTGTTAGAGGATTTTCTCTTAAAAAACTTACTTTTAATTTTTTGAAAAAATATGAGTTTATAAAATAAGAAAAAGTTATATCTCATTATTCAATTAAACCTCCATAAATCTTTGTAGATACCAAAAATATGTACGTTTAGAACTTACAACTAAAGTTTTATAATGGAGTTTATTTGCATAGCTAGCCATATAAAAAAAAATGTTTCTTGTATAAACATCTCATATTATCTAAAAATTTTTTGAAACTAAAAACAAACTTTGACCGTAAATTGGATTCAATTGAGAAGCTTCGAACTCAATAAAAAAATTTTAATTTGATTTGATATGATTTATTTATTTAAAAAAAGTCAAAAGTTAGAAAAAAAGTAAAAAAATAAAAAAAACGAGGGATTTTGGTTTGATTAAGCAAATCTTATAAAAGAAAACACTCAAAGTCAAATCACAAATTATAAAATCGCAATAAAATCATAATCAATTTGATTTATTTTTTAAAATTAAAGGGATTCAATCCTTATAAATAAATAAATAGAAACCACACACTATTGGGAGAAAAAAATAAAATTTCAAAGATCTTAGTTTTCTTTTTTTTTTTTTTTGTAATTTTGGAGAGGAATCATTCAAGTAAATTCTAAAATTTTTTTCTTTGGGTTATGTGATTTTATTTTGTTTGGAGTTCAATTTGATTTGCTTTTATGTTTATTGAATTTGGGTTTTAATTTTGAGTTTGATTTCATATTCTGTTGGGCTTCTAAGATTTTTGTTGGGGTTTTCTGTTAGTTTTTTATTATGGAATTTTTGTTAGGTTTTCAAGAGTCTGAAATTTTTTTTGAATTTTTTTGGGTTTAGAATAAAACTTTCCAATTGAAGTTTGAAGTTTTTGTGTGAACTTGATGACCCGTATGAAGATTCACACTTTAAGCCCGACCTGATCACAATTTTCCTTTTTTTTTTTTCTTTCATCTTATTTCTATTTTGATTTTATTTTATTTTACTTTTTCTATTTTATTTTTCTATTTTTACTTATTATTATTATTTTCATCTTTAATTATTATCTTTCTCATTACCTTAAATTAAAAATTATATTATTTATTTTTTTAAAATGCCTTTATGAATTTTATTTATTTATTTATTTAAAAATAATAACAAAAAAATATTTTTAAAATAAATTCATGAATCCTACCAAACTATTGAAGGATTTTTTATGAATTTAAATTTTTATTAAATTCTACCAAATTATTAGATAATCTCATAAATCAATTTTGTCATAATGTATAGATTCGTGGATCTACCGTTAGATTTGGATGAAAGGAGTCGTCATCAATCTTTTTATCTAGGCGTGATTAGCCACCTAATTGAATCTTATATGCAAAATAGAGGTTAGGTTCGAAAGTCAATTGTGCATGAAAAAGATTGTAGCACCTCCAAAATGTCCATCCAATATATGGTATCGGTTTGATTTCAAATTATCCAAGTCTTGATCATTATCATTTTTTTATTTTACCAAATAATTTATTTCAATTTTTTTGTTTATTTATTTATTATTTTGAAAACATTATTTATAAAGATTTCTCTTTTTTTAAAAAAAGATTTTTTTTAAATATATTTTTTTCAAAAATATAAGTGGCAGAAATAATTCTCTTTTTTTTGTTTTTTTAATATAAAAAATAGAAAATAGTAAAATAATAAAAAATTAGGTTAGAAATAAAATAAAATAAAATGAAAAAGAAAAAATTTACGATCAGGTCGAGTTGATACCAAGTCAGAGTGCAAACACTGAGTCGGGTTCACGAGGATCCTAAGCTTTTCAAAATGACGTCATTCAGGGTCAGTATAAAAGGCTAGGCTTTAGCGTTTTTTTTCAGAATCCTAATTTTCTATTTCTCACTAACTTTCAGATGCTTTTCTTTCTCTCTAAAAATCTCCTTAAAACACATCAGAAAGTTCAACTGAAAATTGAAAAACCCATCGATTTTTGGAAAACCTGTCGAATTTTGAAAATCTTGTCGGAATCTCATTGAAAACTTCAACATTCGTCAAAAAATTCAATCGAAAAACTCATCTCTCCTTAAAAAATTCATCCCAAACCCAAAAAAACCCAGATCTCCTTTAATTTCTCTTAGATTTCTCCAAATTTGGCTTTAATCACTCCTAGAACCTCCTGGATCACCTTGAATCCTAATTCTAACCTAAAAACCTAAAATTGAACCTATAATTTCATATTGAAATCCAGAACCCCAAAATTAAACTGCCAAAATCTTTTCTACTAAAACTCCCCATATTTTTTTCAATAATTTTCTCTCCATTTCTTTTGTGTGTTCTTGTGTTAGAATTCATCCAATTTGTAGGCGATTTTAGGAAGATTTTTAGAAAACGGACAGAATCAATCCCAACTTGAATCCTGAGATTGGTTTTGTCTGAGTGTGATTATGGGTTCTAATTTGATTCCCTTAATTCCACCGATTGACTTTACATTAACAATCCTTGATCTTGGTCAAATTTAGATTTTCCATCCTTCAACAGATTCAAACAAAAAAAGAAAGAAAGGAAAAACAGGAATAATAATAATAATAATAATAATAATAATAATAATATATGCAAAAAAGAAAAGGAAAGTAAAAAAATAAAATGTAAAAAAATTGGCCCAATCAATCCTGGACACAAGCGGGCCTAATCAGGCTCGTGCTTCAAACGTAAATGGGTTCGAGCCCAAACACAGATGGGCTTAAATGGGCTCGAACACAAATGGGTTTGAACGGGCTCGAACATAAATGGGTGTCTACAGCTACCTTTCTTTGTGCATTTTTGCTATACATGGATGCTGCAAAGACCTAGGCACCCATTCCATCCTAGTCAAATAAAAAATGATTTATGAATCTGAAAAATGATTTGGACTTAGTCGAGATATAACGACTAAGACGAATCTAAAGGTCAAGATGAAAGACGACCGAGTCGAGGCTGAAGATAACTAAGACGCAACCATGAATTAAAATAATATAGACTGAACCAAAATCAGGTAATCGGGCTAAAATCATGAGTCAAAATAAAATGAGCAGGATCGAATCGATGTCAAAAATAGATGATTGAGATGAAACCACAAATCATCAGAAATGATTTGGATTGATCCAAGACCAAACGACGAGGACGAAACCACAAGTCAAAATAAATGGACCAAGATCGAGTCAGGGTCAAAAATAGATAACCAAGATAAAATCACAAATCATCATAAATGATCTAGATTGAGCCAAGACCAAGTGACCGAAATGAAACCACAATTCAAAATAAAGCAACCAAGATCGAATCGAGGTCGAAAATGAATGATAGGGATGAAACCATGAATGATCTAGACTAAGCTAAGATCAAGTGATCGGGACAAAATCACAAGTCAAAATAAAATGACTAGGACCAAGTCGAGGTCGAAAATAAAAGATCGAGACAAAACCACGAATTATAAGAAATGATCTAAATTGAGCCAAGATCACGTAGGTGAATAAAGTAAATGCACGCCTTATTTAGGATGCAAATGAATCATTAATTATAGTATTAAGGCTTCTACCCTTTTACCTCGGTACACTTTTTGGCAAAAAAACTCTCTTTTATTAGTCTGAATACTTATCTTTATTGCACACTTTAGCGAAGAAATCATGCACATCTTCGACGAAGAAATCATCTGAGTGCATATCTTTGGCACAAAAATCAGTTTGACCATTTATCTTAATCCCAAGAAAAGCCATGGAAATTAATTTTTTTTTTTTTATTTATAGAGGCATTCATCCTTTGTTCTTGTCTCCTTTAATTCTTCAAGGTAACACACAACTTTTTATGACTTTGTTCAATTATTAATCATTATCTAGTTTCAAAGTGTGGGATGCAAATCATGCATTTTTTCCATCCATGGTAAGGTATAAAGAGAAAGGTCGAATGTATTGGCAATGTATAAAACAAAGAGAGAACGATAAGACGACTTTCATTTATTGGGATAAGCAAGAATTTACAAATGATGGTATAAATCTGAAAAAGAAGTGTACAAAGGTAGCTATTTAAGGTAGCCATGCCCTAAAACAAATGACAAAATAATCATGACAGCAAATTTTAGATCTCCTTCAAAGACTCAATCAAGATATAATGCCCTAATACCTCAAAGTTCTTTGAAATTCACTGTCCTTAGTATACCTTTCAAGTGATGCCATATTTTATTCGTGTTGTCTTTCAAGGTTTTCAACTCAAACCCTTTCTATTTGGATTCAAGCCGCCCTTTTGGGTTTTTGACTTGAACTTTTCTCTCTTTTTTTTCTAGTTCAAGCCACCATTTTAGGTTTTCAACTTGAACTCTTTTTTTAATCAAGCAAAGTATTTCTTTACTGTATTCA